ACACACACACACACACACACACACACACACACACACACACACACACACACACACACACACACACAACAGCAAAACATAATTTAAAGCCTTGTTTTGCATATTTTTTTAAAGATACAAATAAACCAAAGACCCCAAAATAATTATGCAAGTGGCAGCAGTTACCCAGTATAAAGGGCAGGAAGCATGAGCAAAATGCCCATTGTTCTAAAGTGCAACAAATTTCTGGCAATGAAAAGCATCATACCTATCTAAAGAGTCTAAATCAGCTGTGCTTTATCTGGTAGAAAATAAATTAGTAATAGCAATAATAATAATAATAATAATAATAAATTAAAAAATAAAAGTAGAATGCAATATTTCTTTATAAAGACTTATAATATGACAAACCATAAGCAAAAAATTGAAACAAGTGATTTATATTAATAATTTGATTCCGTATTTGACAAGTTAGATAAGCTCAACTCCTAATAAAAACTGTAACTGCTTTCGTGTATCTGCTCTTTTCACTATTTACTGTATCTCTGTGCCTTACTGCAATACTTCTAGAAATATATGATAAATGTCTGCACATTAACATTGAGTGCACCCACATGACTAAATGCAATTTAATTAGAATCAAGCAGTCCTTTGAAGCTTGAACAATGTACAATCAATCAAGCATAATATGATTTCTGTAACAGGTACATTTGTGCCCCCTGATATGAGAAATAGTCTTTTAGGCAGTCTTGACATTATCCCATTACATACCATCTCTAACCCAGTTATTCTACCAAGAATTTTTTTTTTTTTTAACCAGACAGGAAAAGGTTAGAAAACATCCAGACAAGGGCACAGCTGTGTCCCTCTCCCATCTCCCGGGACACACAAAGATAAATATGGATTGGTTATATAGATTAGGTAATGTGTGGGGAAACACAACACAAGACATATAGAAACTCAGATTGATGGTCAGGGGAACGTATGCAACTCACAAACACCATCACAAACACCATCTGCCTCATACAAGTAAGATGACTGATACTGACTTTGACATAGGTGCGTTCCGTCTCCACAAGTTCGCAGATTACTTTGCGGAGCTTGTCGGCATCCGACAGCTGCCGGGGAGTTGCAGTAAGTGGGAAGGCTGAGTCCGGGCTCGGTGAAGAAGACACGCACTCCAAGGGATTCATATCATGGAGACTGCGACAAAAAGCAGCGACCTGCTCCGTACTCTGCAAACAAATCGACGAGAGATAAAGGTAAGTTTCAAAAACATTTAATCACACTTCCAACCTGAAGTCACAAAAGGAAACATCCGCACAGCAATGGATCAGCACCTTAAATCTTATCCCGTAAGCACCACCTTCTACCTACTGATGTGCACAGACTGTGCAGAGAGAGAGCCTGGATGGAGGCAGAGAGGCAGCTCTAAAAAAAAAAAGAAAAAAAAAGAAGCTTGCACTAATTCGGCCTATTTTCAGTCTATCATAACTGACTTTCTGACCTCCTCTCTTCTGCTCACTTCCCCTGGTGCTTTCTTCCTTCTGATGGATTGGTGGTGTAATGATTCAACTCTTTCACAGAATCAAAATATACTCACAACACTGTGTCCACACAAGTATGGGTTGCCATGGTGACCAACCCTGATGTGCATTAGACTATTATTTTGGACAAAAATAGACCCCTCTCAACAAAAGCCTACATGGGTGAACAAATGCACTTACTTTGTTTGCAAAAGGCTACAGCCTCACCAGCCAAAAATAAAAGAAGCGAAATGCCACACTGACTTGTCAAATCAATACAAAACACAAAACGGACAGCACAAAAGAACTTTGCTCAGATCCATCACAACATGATTTCAACTTACTGGAGGAAAACTTTATTTTAAATTATGATACAAAAAGATCAAGACAGGTAGTCCCACAGAGCTGTTCTGATCAGAAAAGACACAAACAGCAGGAGTGGGCATAATGTGGGGCAAAAATCTGTCTTGTTTGTTTAGTGAAGTTTTATGGAGAGATAGTCTGTCACACTTACAGATTCCTCTGGGAAATAATAAGAAGAATATATATTCAACACAGCCACAAAAGATGGATCGTTATAATTTTAATTAGGATTGAAATTACAGTCAGTCTACTTGTGTCAGAATATCAAAACCACTACCCCTCTTGCATAAATTAGAACAAACAAAAACTGTATTATTCCTTTCTCTGGGAATTTTTGCCCCAAAGACTCATCGCACCAAGCAAGTGATAGGACAAGTCTCACATGTATTTTCTTTCTCATTATTCACTCAAATATAATAAAAGGAACCCAACTCAAAGCACAAATATAATTAATGAGGAACAGAACATTTTCAGCTATTCTGCTTCATGTTTATAAATGACTGTGATTTCTGCGTTATCTAATCAAGCAGACGTCCTTATGTGAGGCATGACAACCATTTGTCCCATTTCACAAATTCTCAAAATCATCAGGCTGCTCCCAGATCAACTAGGAAGTGCTACAAATGCTGTAAATGTATTTCAGCAAATACATTTTACAATACTAACACAGTATAATTTCAGTTAAATCTGTAGTGTGAGCACGATTTGTCAACTTTAGTGTCAAAGTTGTGAATATAGCACATGTAAACTAACAAAACCATTTGGATGGTGTTCAGGTTTGAAAGATTTTCAAATGAAAATAAACTTGGTCTATGTCGTACTGTACTTGGAAAGGGTAAGTTTGTCTAAACCTTACAGTACCTGTATATGTTTAGTTCAGAGCTTCCAACCAAATGCTTTCCTCCTTGTTGTTGGCCTCTTATTTGCACTTTAGTGTGTTGTGCACTCAGCAATGCAGTGTAAATTGCAACTAAAAAGATGATGCTGATACAAAATGTCAGGAGCAACATTCATGATAAAGTCAATGCAGAGACAATCACTCTTCTAAAGAGAATCTATTGAGGTAGCTGCAATTGCCCGTCCCACATTTAATGCTGAGACTTTAAAACATTACCCAAATTTATCAAAGAATGTGTGGAGAAACATGTTTTTATTTTCAAGTGTTTTATCAACTGTGAGTTTCTTGTGAGAGTTGAGGCTACCGTAGTGAGGTGCTGCTGCTTTTTAAAAAGGAATATCTTGGAGATCCACAAATCATTTCCACAAGCAGAAAGTAGGTGTGAAATTTGGGAATTAGATTTTTTTTGTGTGTCTGAAAATCCTGGCATAATTTATATTAGAAAAATATTTGTCAATCTTCAGTTTATTACTTGAGGTTTCATTTGACGTTTTAGCAGATTTTCTTTAAAGTTTCTCGTACTTGTTCTGCATCTTTACTTTTCATTGTATACTGTACCTAGGCTGTACAAAGGTATGAACAGTATCAATAGATCCAATCTTTGTCTTACGAAAAAACCGCTTGATCAGCATTAAATGGTAGGCAACTACATTTCTAAGTGCCAATTTTATTTTTGTCCAGTTCGATGGATCCACATCCATAAATGCCCACACAAATTTAGATAACAGTTGCCAAAGTGCAGTCTGTTAGCTGTCATGACAGAAAAAAGAGGAGCACGGAAAAAACGTTTGTTTATTTCACACACGAGGCATTGTTATTGAAATATCTAACAATGACGCTCAATTTTGCATATTTTATTAATACTCAGCAGCTCTATTTTATTGCCATTATTCTTTTTTCATTATGCCAGAAAATTTGTCCTTACCTCACAATGTAACCAACTAAAGAACATACAGATTTTTGTTGCTCCAAAGCTCTGTATGAAAGCAATATGCCCAACTTTTATTTTTGTATGGAAATTATCTGACTTGTTTTATATAGTAGGGGTGTGAGAAAATATCGATACACTGAAATATCGCGATATTTAATTTCCCGATACTGTATCAATAATCTAAAGCCCTGTATCGATTTTTTTATTAAGGTTTAAAATGTCAACTTTCTTGCCAGCCGTTCATTTTTATGTTGTAGTTCAGCCTCTGACCACTAGTTGGCAGCAGTGAGCCAGACATTTGGCTCCTCTACCTCTTGAGGTAGAGGCCATTGTTAAGTGTTGGGTGACCATATTGTAAATTAATATTAAAAACTAAAAGCTGCAAAAATGTATATTTTCAAACTATTTATTGGCAAATTTAGTCTAGTAATTGAAAACATGGATGAAATAAGAAATATGAAACAAATAAAATACAAACAAAGCAGAACACAGCTAAATGTATCAAACGCATGTCTATGTAATTAGAATTAGAATTTTCTGAGACAATGAATTTTGGTTTTTCATTTTTTTTCCCCTGAATAGTATTTTTGGTCAAAAAAATCACAATATATCGCGATATATCGCCTTGCTTATAGTATCGCGATATATCGCGATATATCGCCTTGCTTATAGTATCGCAATATATCGGGATATATCGTATCGTGACCCCTCTGTCATGATATGTATCGTATCGCCAAATTCTTGCCAATACACAGCCCTATTATATAGCCGATTATTTTAATTTATTTCTAAAACTAACCTCAGTCAGCACACATAATAAAATGGGTTGATAATGCTGCAGCTGTGAGTGTTTTGTAAAGCCTGTCCTCTTCTAAATCTGATGGTAAACTGAATGTGCTGACATTAGTGCCTAAAAATGGTGTCATTTTTCAGCAAATGTTGGCAATCTGGCAATGTCAGAGCAATTAACTGCATATACACTAGCATGACTGTGTTCAATTTGTCACAACACAGAACAGACTGATTCCAGAGAGAGGGGATCAAATCTAAAACAGCACTTTATTTCGGTTTTATTATATTTACACAGCCAACTGCGCTATTCTTTACACTTTTGCACATTAAATCTTCCAACATACAGAAAAATGTCAGTTGCTCCCATCCTCAGCACACTTCAGTCTAAAATGTTGCAGTCAGAGAACTCTGACTTTATGCATCACATTGTACCCGAGTAAAATCATGTGCAAACCAAAGCAAACCCTTGATAAACATAAATTACATTAAAGCATATTTGACATTTTTATGTCACTTTACCACATCCATAAATTCATAAACCATAAATGTTATAAAGTCCGAATCAGATTTTAAAGCTCTATCTATGTCTACTTTTACAAATATCTGTATTTTTTAAATTTAAAGTTAAATTTTGACGGTTTTGAAAATCATTAATATGTTGTTGTATAGCAAAAACTAAATTAATATAGGCACATGAATCTGATTCTGTCTCGCTAATTTCGTCAGTTCAGCTCATCAAGTTTTACTGGGCTTACCAAGACAGTCACAGAGTAGTCATAGTTTTCACAGTTTTGCCTAATTAACACCCTTGCAGCTCTGAGGAGTGCATGAACAGTCATGACATGGCAAAGAGACAAAGCAGGAACATCGCAGAAAAGAATGAAGCTTTCACTATAAAATATTGTGAACAATTTGCAAATCACAGAGGCCATCTTAGGTTAAATCGTGAGATGTCATTCGATTGTTTCCTCCAGCTTGTGAAATATAGATTACATGCAATTAGATTCAGCAAAGCACTGATAAAGTAGAGAAAAGATTGCATATCTGCCCTCAGAAACTGACAGGAGAACGATGTCGCAGCTTCAGAAGGTAAGAGAGAAAGTTCTCCAGCAGTCAATCATGCAGGAACACTCAGGGTAGTTTGTCAAAGTCAGGTTGAGTCCAACTAGTCGAGATCAGACTTGCATCGAAGGAGCTTACGCATGCAGTGTTTTATTTCCTTAATACCTTGTGGAGCACGCTGGTGATTATGGGGCAACTCTGCGACACGATGACTCACAGCTTCCTGCTCTTAGCAGCCAAGAAGAAGTGTGAAACAAACGCTAAGATAAATTGTTTTCTTCCCTAATCTGAGAAAACAGCTATTACAGCAGCAAGAGAAAGCCAGGTACAGAGAAGATATAGATGTCAGGTATCTCACCAGATGAAGCATGTCATAGATGGAGTCTGCGGAGCGCTTTCTGTACTTGCTCCACTTCAGGACAGACATAGCCCCGTGCAGGTGGACAGCCAAGTCAAATAAAGTGCAAGAGAAAAAACTCCAGGCTTTGAAAAGTCAAGCCTACACTGTACACATTCCTCAGCCCCCTTTTGCCTTCCTTTAAAAAAAAAAGAAGGTGCTATGGTGCTTGAGTGAAGCTGCTCAGCCTCCTCCTCTCCGCCCACCAGCACTTACAGTCCTTCCAGCTCTCCCTCTTCTGTGCCTTCACAGTCTGCTGTAGAACTGTCACAAATGTTTTCCTGTTTTCTCTCTCTCTTCTCTACAGGCTGGGTAAACTCGGGCACATAGAGTGAGTGTGAAGATTTGTCCCAACTCTGACAACATCATATACAAGTCTTAGTAATCCTTGTAAAAGTGCTCAGGAGCAAAGCAGAAAGAGGGATGGAGTCTTAAGGTTGCAGTGGATCGGGATTGGCTGGACAAGCAGCACAGCAGCAGAATACAAATATAAGATTTCATGAAGAGGGGGTAGAGGGGTTGCAAAAGCATGGCTTTGAAGGAAAATAAAAACAGGGAATGGGAAATTTAATATTTAATAAATCAGTACCATGAACAGGCAAAAAATATTTTTTATTTATTGATCCATCATCACTGTGCAGAATTTTTTTAATGTGAACCAATATTTATTTTATTTAAAAATATAAATGTGCTCTCTGATCTTTGTTAATCTACTGTTTTACATGTTTGTTAAAAATAATCAATAAAAATTTAAGTTAAAAATATATAAAGGTGTGATTTTTTTTAATCAAATACAGTAACTATATAGGGATAGCATCAACTTGAATTTGAGCAAAATACTTGGTGAAAACAAGCAAAGACACATTAAAACATATTGATTTAAAACAAAGACATGTCTTTTTTCTGCACTGCATTGACTAAATGTATGTCCTGTGTAGAAACTAGTAACAATTTTCTTGTCAAAGTAGTTGTCCCTTAATGTGAATTTTGCTGCTAAAATGAAGCATCAGTTCAAGCAAAAATGATTCTTGAAAAGAAGCAAAATGAGCAGAATTGTAGGATAATAAAAACTAGATTTATTTTGGTTAGGATGATCAGAAAATGCTAATTACATCGCAGAGCCTAAATTAAATCTGGCCTTAAATGGGTTTTATAGCCAGTTAGAAATGATGCAGTAATCAAGAGCTGCCCAAGAAAGATCAGTTGTCTTTTTAAAGTTGCTTACAAAAAGAAGATTACAGGCTGCTGTTTTAATTATACATTTTTTTAAATCAGCACAAAAAATATTACCATCCAATCAGCCAAAGCACTTCAAAAACATCACATCCACACTTATCATTTGTTCAGTCTCAACAATCATGCTCTCATTTGCCTTTTGCAATTTGTGTATGGAAATTAATTTATATTTCAGATGAAAATGCCACTCGATAACAACTTCTATTACCACGCATAATCAAGCAATTACAAGCGAGCTTAAAAAAAAGCTACATCCATCACCTACATGTTGCATGCAGTAGGAATGCTTCGCCTATGGACACTTGGGCTCAGGCCAAATTGTTCAGCAGTCAGGATGAGCAGTAAAATACCATCTATTATTTATTTCAGAAGCCAGCGCACGTTTTTACAGCAGTGTGCCGTGCAAGACACAGAGTGCTAATCCAGATTTGTATTGAGAAGCAGCACTCAAATGTCAATATCAATGGAACGGCACTGCCTTGATAAACAAGATAAAATGAGCCAGTAACAGGTGGTGACTCAAACTGTGCTGAAGCAAAATGTTCATCAGTGGTTTTTATTATAACACAACGCAGAAAAGGATTCTGCAAAGGACAAGAAGCAAGCATAGATGCAAGATGTGCTGTTATATGTTTGCTCTAGCATTTTACCTTCCTGCGCTCATCAAACTCACTGAAGCTCTCCGAGTCATCATCCAGGCTGTCTCCTGAGCTCTCAAGCAGGAGTCCCACACCGTCATCCAGGATTTCCTCTGTATCAAAACAAAGCAGTTAGATAAAGACTTAGGACTTTTTCTTTAACATATTCTTCTTGCTTTGTCATTTTCTTCATATCTACAGTTCAAACAAAATAAATCTTCGTTATTTACTAAGAGTTTCTTATCCTCCCTAATTACGATCAAATATATTTTATGATTTGCAAAAAGCACAGTGATGACACTGAAAACATACACAAAACACATTTTAACATTAGTCGTTTTTTGTACCATAGCTAAATCAGAACAAGAACTTTAATACCCTGTAAATTATTACTAACAATTAAGGGTGACACTTTTGTTGAAGGGGTGTGCATAAATGTTAAATTAATTTTGTTAAATGTATGTATGAATTTTTTTTTTTCGGGTGGGGACGTGGAGACCTGCAGTTCTTTGGTTGGCTCCTGGGGTGATCATGCGGAATATTTTAAATCTACTTAATACTGCAATCACAAATTTTCAATTGGATGTTCTGATTTTYTRTTTRTTTATTTATTTATTTATTTATTTATTTATTTATTTATTTATTTATTTATTTATTTATTTATTTATTCCCCCCATCTCATTTTAATTACTGCTGGATGTTGTTTTGTTTTTACTGTCTAGGACCACAGATGTAAATTAGCCTTAGGCTAAATCTGGTGCAATGCATCAAATGTTTTTATGTTTATGTTTTAATTGCACACTGTCCTTACAAATAAATTCATTCATTCATAAGATTGACATGACACTGTCATAAACATGACATCGCACCGATCATGAATAATATGAAGGAGGATATAAATGTTTATGAATGTTGTCATTAAGTGTCATTTTGTGAATTATGACACGTTTAATACAAATTTGACATTGTTTAAAATGGCTTGGTTATGACAACTTGACATTAACCAAGACAAAAATGTCTTTATGACAATTTGACATTGGTATGATATAATATATTTATTGATATGGAAATGTCAAGAAATACTCTTTTATTGTATTTACAGAGTCATGTGATTATCTCACATCATATGATTTTTAGTTAATGTCAAGTTGTCATAACCAAGACATTTTAAACCATGTCAACTTTGCATTAAACGTGTCATAATTTACCAAATCGTAAATATTCATGAAGACTCCTTCATGTTTATGACAGTGTCATGTCAGTCTTATGCGCACACCTTCAAATAAAGTGTTGCCAAACGTATTCAGTATTAGGTCGCAATGGATTTGTTTGCATTTTAAAAGTCATTTTCACCTTGACTCTGGGAAAAGATATCCGTGTACAGATCATCTGCTGCATCAGAGCGACGCGGTGGCAGGTAGCACAGCTGACGGCGGTCCACAGAAGGCAGGGTGTTGACCGTCAGAGCCAGAGATGCTTGAGAAAATGCCGCCTTCATGTCAGAGAAATTGAGATTGTGAGAGTCCTTTCCATTCAGCTGAAGTATTTCATCCCCAGCATTTAGGCCTGTAAAGACAGAGCACCATTCAGTTCCGTGTACCGACCTCTAACGCATTTAATGCACAAGGTAAACATTTTATTTCCTCTAAAATGGCTGGTAACATCAATTTTATCATTTCAAGTATTATGTGATAATCAAATAACAAAACAAGAATGAAAATGTTACTGTGAAAGAATCACTGCAGGTGTTTTTTTGCCATTCTGCCCAACAAACATGACTCATTGTTAAGAGCTTTAAGTGCAGTTTGTTGACAGTGTGAGTAGCTCACAGTCGGCTGTACAGCTGTACTTAAAGTGCTGCATCTTGCCCGTCTTCAGCATAATATTTTGACATTACACAACCCTAGACTGATTCCACAGCAGTGCAGCAAATGTGAAGCAGCTTTGGTGAAGAATCTTGTGTAACACAATTCTTGGCAAAGATCACTGTGAGGCACATTGGTTGTGATTGCAATAATTAACTTCCTTTTGAAATATTGTGTTCTACTAACCCCTTCTAATGATTGCTAATAATTTTCTTGCCTTTAATGTCACAACAGATAGCAATAGTCATAAATATAAAAAGTAGCATATTAGATGATAAAGCCGTTCGTCTTTTCATTAGGCGCTTGTGTAATTATATCATGGTGATACGTTGTATTAATATATCAGCAATATTTATCCGCTTCAACTACTAATAATCAAGGCAATAAATCTCTATCCTTGACTTTTTTGTGAGTTTTAAATTAGACCAGAGCATTGCAGGACAACACTGAAAACAAACCTTTTGCAAAGGCTAATCCCCCTGCCTTTACATCAGTGATGTAGAGCTGCTGTATTCCATCCTCTTCCACCACTGAAATAGAGAAACCTGGAAAAAAAGAGGAAAAAAGTGTTTAAAAAAGATTTTGCGTACGCCAAAGTAAAATAATCGATTCTGCTCCAACCACAAAATGATGAACTATTAACTAAAAAACAAATAATGTTCTCACCATAACCAATCATGCAGGATTCATCTCTGTCAAACTGGATTACTTTTGTGGTTTTGGAGCAGATCTCAATTTCTTTATAAAGCTGTGAAGAACAAAAAGAAGTTATTATATAAATCATGAAACACTGGCTAACTTTAGTCATGGTGTGGTGGGTGGGTTATTGGCAGCAGGAAAAGAGAGCATTCATTTTCTGCCTTCTCAGACAAAGTGGCTCTTGCCATGTCTTTATGTGTTGTGTCATAAATAGATGATGTAAAAATAAAATTGAATCTACAGAAATGTGTTGGTTCATGTTCTTTTCATAAAACAAATTCTTTAAAAAAGGGAAATATGCTAATCAAATAAAAATGTTTCTCTTAAGAGTGCAGAATCTGTTTCTAGTGTTATTCCTTGTGTATTTACTGCCGTTTAAATCTATTTCTTGATCTTTCTAAGCTTAAGAAGGCTGTTGGGATAAAAAGGGATAAGCTCATGTTTAAATAGGGAGTTACATACCAAGTCACAAATATCCTCTTCTGGTTTGGGAATGTAGAATTGCACTTGATTTTCAATAAGGAGTTTAAGTCGCAAGTAGTGTTTGGTTGGATCAAGCTCATGAGCCTGTGGAATATATATATTTACAAAAAGATGATATTCTCTCATATCACAGTGCTAATAATGTTCTTTTATAATTAAACTTTTTTTTAAAAAAACTATTCAATTTGCATGCTAGTTAAATTAAATTAAGATACATCAAATGGTAAGTGAAAAGCTGTTAGTGAATGATCCGTCAGACAAAATGAATAAATACATAAAGCATGGGTCAGGTGGCACAATTGAAGGTCTGACTCCCTTACCTTGCAGATGGATTCAAGAACACACAGTGCAGACTCTCCTGGCTGGATGGTGGTTAGCACAGGCTGGTCATTTGGCAGGCAAACCCAGGAGGGCGTGAGGTGGCCAGGGACCCAGATGTCACTCTCAGTGTTGGGTTGTGGAAGGTTTTTCACAGTTCCTTCTTCAGTTTTCTTTGAACGCAGACATCAAGAGTACGTGCATGTTATTACTGCAATCTCTGATTTAGGTCGAGGCTTTTATTGCAAACAGTCATCTTTGTTTTACATTTATTTTTCCTTTTGAATTAAAAGGGTCAAAACACCCATTAAGCAATTGCAAGTAATACATTTTTAAAATATTATACAGCCTAAATTACTGTTTTATTAGGCCTGAGAAAAATAAATCCTCTAATGTGAGGAGAATTTTATGATAATCTCTGCTGCAGGATACATAAAGACTTAATATTTTATTGGTGTGAGGGTTTTTTTAGTTGAAAAAGTTCCATTTGTTGTTGACCTACTTCTCACTAAAAGGAAAATAAAATATTCATCCTTACTGAGTTTTCCTTTACAGGATCAATAAAAATGCTATCTGTGGGCTTTTTCTCAGGCTCTTCACCATCAGCAAACACCTGCAGAGGCAAAAAAAGAAATTGGAGTAGTTTCACCTCAGGCAATATTGAGAAAACGATTTTTTGTGGAAAGGGTGAGAGATTTTTTTTTGAGCTATTTAGTTGTATCAGTGCTTCAGAACTTCAAAATGGCCATGTGATATTTACGGACCACACAGACCTGACTAACTGTACGGTGGGTCTTCTTCTTTGAGGTTGTGTCCAAACCCCAGATAGAAGAGAACCTGCTCTTTCGCTTGCTGCAGGAATGAGACATGGCTTGAGTTCGTCGTCTCACTCCAGTCTCGGTGCGAGCTGCCACCTTCAAAAACATAACAGCACAAATAGGGCCAAAACAAATAATGTGAGACATGAACAAGGTTCTTTTGATCATATGACACATTACATCTTACAAAATGAGTGTCAGTTATTGATTATTGTATAAATGCATGGCATTAACTTCGTGAGTATTAAACATAGGTTAAAATGGCCATAGACATGAGTCTGCAACAAGAGTGAGATGATGAAATCATGCACAAGGTTATGACCAAATTTAACTTAAAAAATTCCAACAATTGAATAATTTTAATAAGAATTCAACCTTATGTAAGTTTAATTGTTATAAATTCTTAAATAATTTAAGTCAAAGTTACCAAACTTGTTTTATGCAAGAAACAAACTAATTTTAAGCTTTTAAGAAAACCATGAAATGTCTAAGTTGCTAAACATTAAAACACTTCTGTTCCTGTAGGAGCAATCAGCTTCTAAACCTAACCTGAGTCTTTTTGTCATTTTTTATACCACCCTTTCTTGACATTATGTCGATATGGGCATTGATGAATGAGGAATGAGCAAACTAAATACGTGAAACTGCACGGCAGTTTTTAGTACTTTTTCCTGACAAACCAAACTGCCTGCTAACAGCTTTAACACCCACCAGCTCTACAACACTGTGTCGGTGGTGGTAGGGGGAAAAAAAAAGGTACCTCGATGATGTCTAAAAATCAAATAGATGTTTTTCTCTGCAACTGCTGCTTTTGTATCTGGAGTGCATAACCCCATGAAACAGCAGGAGGCCAACATTCAACTAAAACTTTTTAAAAGCTGACCTGTGCAATGCTCAAGAACAGAAATAGCAATTACTGCAGAAAAACGTGGTTTGACACAAAACATTTTAGTTTCTCATCTTAGTTTTCCTGACAGGTAAGTCACCAATGGTATTCTGTGATGCTGAAGTGAGGTACAAAGGCAACACAATAATGTAGCTTTACTTAAAATGTAAAGAACATAGACAACAAAGATCATCATCTTAGGTTATAGGTTTAATCATTTCAGCAACAACAGGTATAGTTTCTGAACTGACTTGACCTTGTTTTTGCTCCCTAAAATGCTCACTACAGACTATGCAACAAAATTACATGCATGCAGTATTATATATATATACACTGTAGTTTATAAGATTATCATAGTTGTCCTAGATCAAATTAAAATATGGTAAATTATAAAACATAGAAAAGCCAACAGAGTATATCTACCAGTGCATGGAAGGAAGAGACTGAGAATATACCCAGTCGGCCCATTGCCAGCTTGGTGGGGCGAGAGGCGAAGGCTAGGAGGCGTTTAGGGTTGGGGAGCTCCCCTCCTTGCAAGCTGGCCAGGTAGCATCTAAAGCGAAATAGATCCATGTGAAACTGCTCCAGGTTCTGCTCCCACAAGAAGATCTGCAGGATGAAAGTAACACAATAGCACAACAACTCAATTGTTTGTCAACTCCAGATCAAGATGGATCATTTCTTCTCCAGAAGCTCTGTTGGCATTTTGGCTCAAACTGTTGTCAATATGCACTTTCTTTGCTAAATGGTTTGATGTTTACTGGGCCAGTAGAGCAGGACTTTGTGATTATTCACTGGGCCGTCCCCTCCCAATCACGGTTATGAGCCGGTGTTTGGAAAAGGCTTCTGCCACTGTTGTAGCAGAACGTTCTGTTTTACTGCCAAGTAGCCCAGAGACGAAGAAACAATGCTGCACATTCCACTGGCAGACAGAAGCTGGGAGCGTTTCAGCTTTCTCAGCTTTTTAGGGAACGCTCTTGTATCCATTCCGCTCTGCACAATTTGGAACCTGACACTGCCAAACAGAACAGCCCAACTGGGCACTACCTTAGTGAAGAAACAAAGGCCATTTGATGCCCCCTCTTTGTAAACAGTCCTATTAAAGACAATGTCAGCTTTCCAGTTAATTATGAATGGAGCTCTATTGGCCAGTGCCAACTGCATGCCATGTAAGAAAACATGTGTGTGTGTGTGAGTGTGTGTGTGTGTGCGTGTGTGTGCGCGCCCTTGTTTTTGCTACTTGTTGGAGATGATTTTTCAGGAAAAACCAGCCTCGTGGGGACCGGATGCTCCTTGTGGGGACCAAAGCCCGGTCCCCACATCTTTGGAGGCTGATTTTGGGTGGCTGGGAGGGTGGGATGGAGGGTTAGGTTTAGGACCAAGGTGTGAATTGAGTTTAGGCTAGTTTTGGGGTCAGGTAGTACCTGTGAGGTTAATTTACATACACATAGGGTTACATAGGGTTAGGATCAAAATTTCCAAAAAAAATGAATGGAAGTCAATGGAAAGTCCCCACAATGATAGAGACATAGAGTGTGTATGTGTATGTGTGTGTGTGTGTGTGTGTGTGT